TTGCCTGGGTTTTACTTAAATATTACTTAAAACTGAGGAAATATAGCAATTTTGAAACAAAAAAAAAACTCGACGTGCGTGGCACGTTATTCTAGCGCAAGAGGTTAACCACTTGCGCTGGCAACTGATTGCGGACCATAACGAGTGACCAAACCGTACACAATAATTCGTTGCTTTCTTTTATCGTCGATATGATATCGCTGTATGGAAATTATTGAGAACTAATAAATTTATTATTTGTTTTGTGTGGGTTATATTTAAGTATACTTAAAACTGAGAAAGTATTGCAATTTTGGGATAAAAAAATTCTCGACGTGCGTGACACGCTATTCCAGTCCAAGAGGTTAACCACTTGCGCTGGCAACTGATTGCGGACCATAACGAGTGACCAAATCGTATACAATAACTCGTCCCTTTCTTTTTCTTTCGAACTTGGTACGATATCACTGGACAGAAATTATTGAGAAGTAATGAAATTATTATTTGTTTTGCCTGAGTTTTACTTAAATATTACTTAAAACTGAGGAAATATAGCAATTTTGAGACAAAAAAAAAACTCGACGTGCGTGGCACGTTATTCTAGCGCAAGAGGTTAACCACTTGCGCTGACAACTGATTGCGGACCATAACGAGTGACCAAACCGTATAAAATACGCTTTCTTTTTGAATTCGTCGGCATTATATCACTGGATAGAAATTATTGAGAAGTGATAAATTTATTATTTGTTTTGCCTATTTTGTTTTACTTAAATATACTTTTAAATATATTTTTGTTTTACTGAAAACTGAGAAAATATTGCAATTTTAGAACAGAAAATTCTCGACGTGCGTGATACGTCATTCCAGCGCAAGAGGTTAATAATCATTGTGAGATGAGAAAAATTTATTTACTTGCAACAGTTCTCGAAACTTTTTCAATTGTTGATAATAATTACCGACGAGGGAAATTTATTTCGATTCACTTTCGTCACTGAGAATAGGATAGACACCAGACTTTAAATGGGGCTTCTTGTCTTAGGGTCTGAAATGCCGATCAGGAAACAAAATCACTAATCTTTTAGCGCACTCTACGCTTAAACAACAGCGAATTGAAGAACTACGTCAAACGAAATGATACAAGTTGGTTAAAATGATATCCGTTACAGTGTTGTCAATTGTACATCTTCAGCACAGACGAAGTATAAATAAATATTACTCGTCTGTGTCCGATACAAGAAATCAGTATCTAAAACTGTTATACTGTTTTATATTATGCATCTATGTATACATATATCACAAAGAGCTTTATTGAGTGTTTTAATGTTAATATACATTTTAAGTATATAATTATTCATATTTCATTGTTTTTAAAAATAATTTTCAACTAACTGCATTACTTCCTAAAATTATTTTGATTGGCAAGTGGTGATTGATTACCATATATTTATTTATTTTTTAAATGGCCACCGATCGAGGAGCATGAGATGTGAAACACTAAAAATACAAAATCTTGGCTGCAAAAGAATTTTCTCTTTGCAAGGTAGATCCTTCGATTTTTACGAAATCTATTATATATATTATATAAAAAAGAACAAGCAATTAGCAGCTAACTTTCGTTGTCTTTTATAGGTATCGAAAAATTATCTTCCGAACAGTTAAATTCTCGAATTCAGCAAACGTCTCAGGAGAGCGGATCAATTGGAAGCAATATTTTTATTTTGTACTGGAATTCAGCTAATTGGGTTTTGATTCAAGGTCCTAGAGACGGATCGCCTGACATTTAGAGAAACTATAGAGAAGCGGCGAGGATCTCAAATATAAAATTTTAGCTTTGGCTAGTTTTCGAGATATTAGAGAATTAAAAAATACATTAAATTCGGCATATATAAACATTACTAATGTATAGATTAATAATATATAATATTAATATATTATTACATTTAATAATATAATATTTATATATAATTTTAATATATAATATATAATATTTATATATAATTACATTTAATAATATAATATTTATATATAATTTTAATATATAATATATAATATTTATATATAATTACATTTAATAATATAATATTTATATATAATTTTAATATATAATATATAATATTTATATATAATTACATTTAATAATATAACATTTTATTTTAAAATAAATTTCGAAGAATTATAATTTTACAGTGGAGTGTTAGAAATTTACTTTCTTTATATTTTAATAAAATTTAATAGATATTTAAAACTAGCCACTTCATTTTTTGAACGTTTTTAAATTTTAGTGCTAAAGCACTTGTTTAATGCCTAATTTTTTGTATTTAAAATAAATATATTAAAATTGTTTAGAATAGAATATTCTAATATATACGATTTTATACATTTTGTAATAATAAATTTTGCAAAACTTATTTGAGTATGAATTGTAGAGAATTTTAAGGATTTTAAAGAATAATTACACTATTCTATCCATTTCTCTACTTTTTCTTTTACGAAGATAATCGATTTGGTAAATGAATGGTTCACATATCGATAGTTGCGAAAATTCAGACTATGTTACTAATATTAAAACAGGCAATTGATTGCAATTCAACCTATTGATTTCAGAACCACATACAATGATAAAAAGAATTCAAATAAATATTACGTAATCCTTCCTGACCAGAAACATAATTATACTATTTTTTTCAAGACACGTGTGAGATATTATAATAAAACATAATAAAATTAAAAATATTATTATATTATCATATAATATATTTTATATTAATATTATAATATTTAATATAAATATTAATTATTATTATTTCATAGTAATATTAAATATTATATAAAATACTTATATTAAATAAATATAAAAATATATTGCAAATAAAATATTAAAACAACATATTTCATTTATCCACGATTTTTAAATTTGTTGTTCCCTTCTTCATTTCTTTCGTCTGTTTAAAACAATCTTGCGAACTAAAGAAAGAATACAAATCATCTATTGAAAAAAGTCTGTATTAAATCTAACTGATCATTATCGTAACGGAATTCATTATTTGTCCAAACGGTACATGAAGAACCGTTTTAAATAGCTTTACAATTGTTCACTGAATAAATAAATAGGAGCCGCGATTTTAGATAATTGGCTCTCTGACGGATAATCACGAACATTTCTTGTTTGACTAACTGGTTATTTCATGTTAATCGATGGTATTACGGAAAAAAGTGGTAAATTATTGTACGAAGTTTATTTATTGTCCGATGATATGATATTGGCTATATTATCATATGAGAGTTGTGCCATAATTTCATTTTGTGGTAAAAAAAGAAAAAAAAAGAATCAATCGTAATTAATGTTTGGCATTTCAAATTCTGCAGTGATTTGTAAATAATAATTGAAGACGAACTGCTACTATTTTTTGAGAGGTTTGGGAGTAATTGATGTAATTGAAATCGGGAATCATGGTTTGTGAAGAAGACGAGGATATAGTGAATTACGGTTAATGATAACGTATATAAGCGGAAATTTGCATTGATGGCAATTACACTGCATTTCGTGGAAACATGGGAAAATGTTTCTCTTTTTGTAATTATCGTGCAAATTACAAGTTAGTGAGCAAATACAGATTTCATATATCTGAATCCTTCTATCGCAACTAACTTCGCAATGTTTCTAAGTATTGCAAATAATTATATAGCTGCATGATGAACTGGTGAAAATATGAAACAAGAAAAATTGAGAAAGTTATAAAGCTCTTTCAGCAAGAGAATAAAAGAATTAAAATAATTTTTCATATAATAATGTTCACTGAAAATTTCTATCGCCTTTTATTCAATGCTATTTCGAAAAAGATTATTTTAGAAATTGTGAAATGAACAATGTTATTATTTTTCGTAGTAATCTATGATTGTTACAGTGAAAAATATTATTATGTTAACTTCTGCTAAAAGTAAAACATTGTCGATAATTTAAACTGATATAATTTTAATAATTTTATAATTTTAAAAGGTCATATAACGATCCGATCTCCATGATCTCTACTTTGATAGTGCGTGAATTCGTTTTTTTCAAAGTTGACTTTACATCACATAAGTGGGAAATTGAGAATATTTTTTTTCTCGAATATAGTAAAAATTCAAACACGTATAAATACATGGTTACACTTGGGATTCAGTACAGTGTGTGAAAGTAAATAATTTCTTTTTAAAAATTATTCCAACAATATTAATCAACAATGTGAATTTATATAACGAAATTGAAAGATGAATAACGATAAAAAATGAAGTTGATCAATTTGGCTCCTGACTCAAATAAAGAAAACCTTTTAAAATACGTTTATATATTGTTATTATTTCAAAACAAATATCATTCTTTGGAATGATCTGAAAGAATTCCTCATACAAAGAATTATGAAATATCAATGAAACATTTCAGAAGATATTAGATTTGGAATGACATCATTTACTGTATAAAAGTCTTATAGCTATTATAACAATTGTTATAACGGTAACAATCACTTTTTTAGAAAATATTAAATATATACATTACAATATTAACATAATTCCAATTACATTCCAATACAAATAACAGAGTCCTAAATTAAATATCATAAAACATGATAGAATGATTTAAAATGATCCAAGAAAGCTGCACATTATTATAATTTTTTACTAAATAAATATTATATAACATATGTATATACAACATTCATCTATAGTAAATATTTAACTACTTTTGTGAGCCACTGTATAACAAACATCCTTATACTTGTATATACAAAATATTATATGTATATACAATATAAATATTACATGTGTAATAATATTTATGAAATATTATATAATAATATGTAAAATATTATATGTATATACATATGTATATACAAAATTCATCTATAAGTAAATATTTGATTACTTTTGTGAGCTACTGCATAACAAACATCCTTATACTTATTTATAAAGGTAAAATATTGTGTACTAAAATTTTTTCACAGTACGTCTAAAGTTATAAACAGAAATAGTGATGCTGTTACCTCTCCGTTTTCCATAGGTGTCTGTCTAGAGGAAACACTGGTGCATATCACATCGTCGTCCCCGATATAAACAAGTTTTCCGGTAACAGGAGGTACAGAATATCGCGTCCAACATTCTTCATCGCTTGGTGCGTAATACTGCCACGGTTGGAAGTTTTCACCATCGATAGATTTTTCCAAAATCCATGCGGCTGGTCTTGGTGAATTCGCTGCCTTCACAATTACGTACTCTATTTGATAAACCTGGACAGATAGTATTTAAGATACATTAGATATTACGTTTAAATTTAGTATAAATAGCATATTTGATATAATTAACTAAAGATATCACACTTAATAATTATTTGTACTACTGGGGTAAATGGTATAAAACAAGGTAAAAATTATAAATTGAATATTAACTCGATTTTATATTATATTTTATAAAATAGTATTTTGCTTTGTAAAATTTAAATTGTTGAACTTTATTTTACGATTTTAAGGGACAATTTTTAAGGGACGAAATTGCCGATCGGGATATGTATAGATATGTGTACACATGGAAGAAAAAAATAATCGTAGGACTTTCATTAACTCTAACTTTCATTAGAATTAAATGCATTTAAATAAATTAGTTAGTTCGTTATGAAATACTAGAATTTTTATTTAATAATACTACTGAATATATATTTAATAATACTAACATCTTAAAATAGTAAATCTTTTGATTTTTCATTTGGAATCCAAAAGATTTCTATAATTTAGAAAAAGGTAAAAAAAAACGACATCTTGGTGTGTGATGAAAAAGGCACACGAAATAAAAAAGAACCACTGTTTTATAAAACATACATCTATACTTAATATAAAAAAAATTAATTGAAATAAATGATAAGTTAAATTTATCTATAATAAATAAATAAATATATATATATATATGTAATATATATATTTCAATATTATAGATATTATAGATATACTTAAATATATATATATCTATAATTAGTTGAAATAAATTGAAAAGTTAAATATATCTATACGATAAATTAAATATATTTATTATAGATATTATAGATATAAAAATAGATTAAAAAAAAATATATATATATATATATATAATTAATTGAAATTAATTGAAAAATTAAATATATCTATATGATAAGATAAATACATTTATTATAGATATTATAGTATATTATAAACTTATTATAGATATTATAGATATACTTTATATATATATATCTATAATTAATTGAAATAAATTGAAAAGTTAAATATCTATATGATAAGTTAAATATATTTATTTATTATATTTAATAAATAAATATAATATGTATATGTAATAACAAGCACATATTTTTTGTAACCACTCTATATAGAAAATGACAAAATATTCTAATCATCCAAAGTGATGTTAGAGGATCGCGCGCATGTGAATACAGAACGCCTACGATATCTTGGGCTATTTTGTTTCAGTGTATAATGGTGGAAAACGAGACAGACGACAGAGATCCATAGATACCCTGCAGTTTGCCAGAATCCCTGTGGAGCCCGGTGAATTTTCTGCCGGATAATTAATTCCAGGCACGCAGAGATCGTGTAGAATAATTCACATGGCTGAATTACTCACAATCTATCCGTGGCACTGCCACGTTTCCCGTCGAGCAAAAGAATAACAATTTGCAATCGTTATTTCAAACTTTAAAAAATATATGAATATTACTTGAATAAGTGTATAAAAATATAGGAATATTATTTGAATCAGAATGTTACTGTTGTAATGAAAAAATATAGCCATTTAGTTAGAAAATTGTGTTTCTTACAGAAGTAGAATATGTCTGCGTTGGAATTAAAATAGTATTGTATTTTAATTGTAAATTTTTGCATTTGGAATTAAAATACTATTGTATTTTATATTGCAAATTTTTGTACTCTTTCATTAGTATTTAATCAGTCATTTTGCACATTTGCAACGAAAATGACACAACTCAGCAAAAATTTCGGAAAAGGCGAAACACACTTTTCGAATATAGTTTTATTGTCGAGTACAGAAATTATTTTGTTATTATTTTTGTAATTATTTTATTATTTGTAGAAATTATTTTATTAAGCTGTTAGAAATCAATGTTGCGTTAATGCAATATCTCATTTGAGCATACAAAATGAAATTTCAAGGATTTGCTTAACATTTTTTCATTATTATGTCTTTATTATGTATTCTAGAGGATTCTAGAATTTTATGAAATTTTAGGAAATTGAAATATTTATAATATTATGTTAAATTATTGCTGAGAGCTTAATGAATTGATCTAAATATTGACATATAGTATTTTAATGTTTTCTAAAACAGATTATGTTTTAATTGAATATCGTACAGCGACAAAAATCGCTATACAATTGACTGGCATCGATCATACCGTCACATTGTTTCTTATTCTGCGATTTTCACTAATATGGAGCAAATCTCCAGAGGACTCTCTTCTCAGTTTATTGATCCTCTGTACGTTCCCGAAGTTTTGACATTTAAATTCGAGACGTCCTATATAACTGCTTTGATCAACATCAAATCAATCAATAACGATTCATAATGATTATTTTCTCAGATGCATTTAACAAAGTCGGCACATTAATTTCACAAAACAGTTTCTTTTTTTATTTTACAAACAAATAATTCCGTGAAATCACTTATTTCTATTATAAATATCGTACAACCAATGCAACGAAAAATAAGCTGGCTGGAATTTCAAATAATAAGATCAACAAATACGACATTGATATGATTATAGAATTTGTTTCGTTTGTTCCTTTCGTTTTCTTGTTGCTTGTCGATCGGTCATATAATGATTTTGTCGCTATGCAACATTTAATTAGAACGTAGACATTTAACCAAAGAAGAACAGTTTAGTGAAAAGATAAAGATGCACACAATGCTAATGGAATACGAAAAGATACAAAAATTAGATTGTAATATCTGAAACATATTTAAATAAATGTTTCATATGACAATATTTAATGATACAATATAATAATTTTAAATAATATTTGTTACGGTTTACGTCTATAATTATATAATTGTGATTGCCATATTTTTGCAATATATCATTTTCATCAATTATACTTATTTCCTTATAAAATATATCAAATAAAATTACTATTTTACTTTATACGATGCATCAATTTAACTGTACTATGCAATAAATAATAATTTCATACAACGTTTAGAACATTTTCTGACAAAAATCATATTAAAAATATGTTAACCCTTCTTTTAATACGAGTTTATTTTCTATTGTAAATGCTATCTTTCCAAAAAAATACTTACATAATGAAAGATTCTAACTCCACTTCGATTCAATGGTGACAAAATTTTATAAAATCACGAGAGTTTACGTCTATAATTATATAATTGTGATTGTCATATTTTTGCAATATATATCATTTTCATCAATTATACTTATTTCCTTATAAAATATATCAACAAATTACTACTTTACTTTATACGATGCATCAATTTAACTGTACTATGCAATAAATAATAATTTCATACAACGTTCAGAACATTTTCTGACAAAAATCATATTAAAAATATGTTAACCCTTCTTTCAATACGAGTTTATTTTCCATTGTAAATGCTATCATTCCAAAAAAATACTTACATAATGAAAGATTCTAACTCCACTTCGATTCGTTGGTGACAAAATTTTATAAAATCAGGAGAGATTAATTTTTAAGTCGACGAACACGCAGCCACCCAACGTTCCTTTTCCTGTTTCTTTTAATAATTTGTCGGACGTTACAGTAACTCACGAGGCCTATCGCATCTCGATGGCGGGCGTCGCGCCGTGTCACCGAGCAGACACGCGTCGCCCTGTTTCGTCGGGTTAACAAGACAGGAGTCCCTCATTCTCTCGTCGGGTCCGTCTTTGTCGTTGTCGTTGTCCTCGTTGTGTCGTCGTTACGCCGGGCATTGTGAGGCCAGACCGACGCCCACTTTCGGACCATAAAGACAGATCGCATGTCCGCGATACCGGCGGGGCCCACTTCCTTCTAAGGACTTCGTCCGGAACGCTCGTTCCGAATCCCGAGGAAACGGACTTCAATTATCCGATCCTTTTGCTCGATCTGTGCATGTAGATCCCTCCAACTAGTCGAATCATGGAAATCTGCTCGTTAATATTACAAGACCGAGGCGGCTTGTTTTTTTTTTTTTTTTCCCTTGAATTAAGCTGCAGTTCCTGGGGATTTGAGTTTCCCTATAACCTGCATTTAACACAATAGGATTGGTATTGATTTTTTTCTTTTTTTTGTTCTTTATGGTGGTTTGTGTGTGTTTTGATCTTGTTTTAAGTTTTTGCAGGAGAAAAATTTTGAGAAACCTGCAGTGACTTGGTAAAAGGCGGCCTGTTTCAACCCCTTGCGCTGGCAACTGGGTTGCGCGGACCATAACGAGTGGCCGAACCGTATACAATAATTCGTCGCTTTCTTTCTCTCTTGAACTCGTCGGTATGACATCACTGAATCGAAATTATTAAGAAGTAATAAATTTATTTATGTATTTGTTTTGCCTGGGTTACATTTAAATATACCTAAAACTGTGGAAATGTTGCAATTTGGGACAAAAAATTCTCGACATGCGTGGCACGTTATTTCAGCGCAAAAGGTTAAATCAGACTTTCGCTTCTTCTTTTAGACACAGTTGTTGAAATGACAGAGGATTTCTCAAAAAAATATTTGTTCCATAATTGAGGAAAAATTATGGGCTATGTTTACTACGTTACGTTCGTTTAATTTGACAGTTTACAAAGAAAGTGACATGATAGTTATACTAACATATTTATCGAAGAATCTATACGATTTGGAATCAATAATTTTACGAAAAATGGGAAATGTTTTAATTTCTGACTTCTGAACAAAAGTGCATATGCAAATCTTTCGATTAATCGGTTAAATCAAGTATTAAAATTTAACTTATTTTTTAATATCCATGTATCTTTCTTTCGTGTTGAATGTAGTAAATTTCCTGTTTACGTAACTGACAATTAACGATGAAATCAAATACACATATATATACATACATACATACATACATACATACATACATACATACATACATACATACATACATACATACATATATATAAAATTATAATAATACTATATAATAATATTACATAATAATAATTAGTATGGTTTTGATAGTATTATATAGTAATAATAAGTAACAATATGTTGTAATGATACTATATAATAGTATTACATAGTAATAA